TTTTAGCTTTAGTGATTCATACTATATGTACAGCTTACAATTGTTTAATAAAGCACACATAACTAGTCTGACAGAGGGTTTTTAAAAAAAAAAAAAATAGACATGCCAATTAAAGACCTTTGCAAAATAATATTTCATATTAAACACCTAATTTAATAAAGATTTCTAATAAGAAATAGAATATAAATTGATATACAACAAGACAAAATAATAAATTATCAAAGCATGTTCAGTTACCTTAATCTAAGTAATATTAATTATGAAAATATATTTATAACTGATCACAATATTCAAAGATTTATAATCAAACTTTGGAATAATGAATTATCTATTATAATTAAATTAAATTGATACAAACTATATATATATAGAAACAAGACTTTTATCAAATGTCAAGAAATAAAAACTACTTCTCATACTTTTTTATATATTACAAATTAATAAATGTATAAACAAAATTTATAAATATCTTTACATACAATCTTAAAGATTACAAACATCTACCATTACTCTTCTCCTTTATTATATAATAAGCAATATGTCATTTAACAAATCAGATCAGACAATTATAGATCTTATTAAAGATATTATTAAAAAAGATATTATCTTGACAATCAATAATTACACTGATTCATATATAACCACATAATTAATGCTTCAAAAATATATAAATCAATATAGAGATTTTTTACATTTCATTTGAATAAAGTACTATAAATCTATTATAGAATGGAAAATTGTAATCAATATTATTAAAAGGACAAGTGATCCAAAAGCTATACTCAAATACAATTATTTTTAGATACTTTATTATCTGAATTACTAATTAAAGATCAATATATAGATCTTATCAATCATTATATAGACTGGTTATTCAAAGGAATTACAAGCCTATTTATAATTTTTTCCTTTTCTTTTTTCTTTAATTTCAATACTAATTAATCATTCTTGACATAATAGGTCCTGTAAAGGGTAACAACAAGCTAATTAATAAGAAAAGTAAATCTATCTTTAAATAGTTCCATTTGTATATTAGAAAAATATAAAAATATAAATACATAATTATATATACACAATAAATTTTTCTCACAAATAAAACAAAAATGAATCGGTTAAAACAAAAAAGATATTGTATTACAAAAAAAAATTATATCACTTTGTTAATTAATAAATTTTACTTTAATTGAAAAAAATTATATTGATTAACTTTGAAATATGAAATTTTGTTTCAAAACTTTTTTAATGCACTATACATTTTTACATTTGCAATAAAAACAAATAAATCAACTTTATATTTTGTTTTTAAACAATTTATTAAATTTGTATAATTACTTTTTTTTTAAATATTATTAATTGTTATGACTTTCAATATAAAAAAGATCGTGATAACAAACTAATATTAATTGATCAATTGCATAATCGAAAAATTTATTGAAAATCAAGATTTAAAAAACTTACACTTTACAATATAATTTATTTTTTTACTTAAAGGTTGCGACAAGATAAGGTGAAATGTTCAGCAATGCATAAATCGAACTAGTACAAACTTAAAAATCCAATCCAACGAATAACAATATAAAATTATAAAATAAAAAATATTATTATTATAATTATAAAAAAATTTGGTCATCATTTTTTCTCAAATAATAAAAAAATTTTAAGAATTAGAATCAAAAAAAATAAAAATAAAAATAAAAATAAAAATAAAATATAACTTACAAACATACCCAACCAAAGACGTGAAAGAAAAAAATACAGGGTGAAAAATATACATACAACATACAGAATGCAAAAAATAATAAACTTGCTAATAATGTAAACCTAAGCTAGCGTAAAAGAGCGAATGAAACATAAAGCTAAGCCTAATAAAGAAAAGGGTCCCTAAATATAATATAAACTAAGTGCATGTGCACGTGATAATAAATTTGTCTGACCTTCTGGCTACGATTAATGGATTGTTTTGTATAACATATAGGTTTCGTTCCACGGTATAAAATTTTCAATACTATATCGCATACAGTCAAGGATAATAACCAAAATACTTAGAATATAATTAAAAAATTAAACGTGTGTTCATGAAGGAAAAAGGAAGATTTATATCCCAACGCACGCCAAATCCAACTTTCCTTTACAAAATTAAAGAGACTGAAGCTTGACAATTAAGTCGTTCAATTCTGCATTCTCTTTTCGAAGTCCTTCAATCTCTTTTTCTTGTTCCAGTATTTTTGCCTATTTAAATAACATGGATTTCAGATATCATGGAGATTGATTTAACATCATAATAAAATCTGAGGTATCATACGTCTTGTTGATCATTCTCATCAGCAAGCAATTTGTTTTGCATAGTATGAGTAGACTCGATCTCAGCAATCTTTTGTTTGTGTGCCTTATGTAAATCCTCCAAGTTCGAGTTCTTTTTAAATTTCGAATTGATTAGTATCAATTTTCAAAATCCGAAAATCATGAAAGTAAAACCAACCAAATCGTTTTCCCTATCATTTAGTTTTTGTTGCAATTCCGTTACTTTTGCTTCATACGACTTTTATAATGAATCCAATAAGTAGATAGATGTTAAGAACTCGATAGACGTTTTAAGGTCGTAAAAAAAGAAAATATACAGTAACAAATAAAATAATCACGAACCTCGGAAATTTCTTTTAATTCTCTATTATCCTTAGTGAGTTTTTGAATTATTTCGGTAAACTCCTACGGGATAAAATGTAAAACGAGTAGAAATGGTTAATAAGAACATCCAAAACCCAATCTTTTTTAACACGATCGACACATACTTGAAGTTGTTTTTCGTGATCTTCATTTTGCTTCTTGAATGAAGAAAGTTGTACACGAGTCTCTTCAATTTCGCTCTGCTTCAGTTTCAATTCCTAATAATAATGACTCTCGGATTAGAATACGAGTGCACTGAGTAAGATGATCGAAAAAGGAACATACTCATTGATAACCAACCTCCGAATTCACCCTTCTAATTGACTCAATTTCTTGTTCAGTTTCGGCGGCGAGTTCGTCCTTTGTTTTTTGCAGAATTTCATCATGCGAAGATCTTATTTCATCGAGTTCTTTTTTATGAGAAGCTTTCAATTCATCTATGACCGAAGGAGAAATTGCTCGTTGCATGTTTTCCACATGAGAGGTTCTCAAATCGCCAAGTTCTTTATCAAAAGATTCTTGTAGTTTCTTGATTTTCGCCTCGTGACTCGCCTTCAAATTTTCCAAATCGGTTTGATGTCTTTCTTTAAGTTCAGCAATCTCTGCCTCAAATTTCTTTATCAAGTCAGACTCGAGATCACTTCTAATTCTTTCCAACTCTTGCCTATGTATTTCTTTTAGCTCTTCGAGTTTCGTTTCATGTTGTTTAATGAGATGAGCCTACCAAAAGGGAAAAAGCAAATAATGTTTAGAGAACAAATTGGTAAATCCGATTAATGTAAATGATTACCACCTCATGCGCTTTCAACGATTCGTTATCTTGCGAACTCTGAGAACTTAATTGAGCCTTAAGATCTTCAAGTTCCTTGTTGAGTTGCTCCACTTTTCGTTCGTGTTCTTTTGTGAGGTCTTCTATGGCTTGCGAATGCTGGGAGTTTAAGGCGGCACGCTCATTGATGATCGCGTCATATTTAGTCTCGAGGTTACGTCGAACTCCTTCTAACTCATTATCATGTAGCTTCTCCATCTTGTCAATTTCTGCATTATGCTGTTTAATGAGAACGTCCTACAAGGTGAAACGAACAAAGCTTAGAATACACATATAATAGATAGATCAATATTTTGTAAATAATAGATAAATGCCTGAAGTTCATCCTTGGCCCTTTTAATTGCATCTTCGCGTGAATCAATGAGATTTTGTAATTCCTGTTCATGCTTTTTCTCCAGTTCTCCAATTTCATCTTGATGCTTAATCTTCATTGCCTCGACGGCAACAGATGTATTTTCCTGAGTGGACTTTGAACCAATCAAATATCAGCGGAGAACAATTGTGGTTATTTAAAAGTAAAATAATAGTGCGTGTTATTACCATAAATTCGTTTTTTACTTGCTCTTTTGTTTTTTCCAGAATAGTTGCATGTTGTAACCGTAGAGTGTCTAGTTCTTCTTTATGATTATTCGCAAGATCTTCCAGCCCCTTACGATGATTATCTTCAAGTGCCGCCACTTTCTCCTTGAGGGCCTTTTTTTTTTTTTTTTAATAAGATAAGTATTCTGCTAGAGCGAAAGAACTTTAAGAATAAATAAATAAATACACACGTCTGATTCAGACTTTAAGTTTAAGAGTTCCTCGGTAGCATTTTCTAAGTCTTTGGTTTTTTCAGCTAACTCAGTGGAACGAGCATCCTTAGATTGTTCGGCAAATTTAGCGTGTTGTTCTTGGAGTGAAATAATCTCTTCTTTGTGAGCTTTCTCGAGAGTCTATTTTGGGTTAATTAAAATTGACACAAGTAAATATACATAATAGTTAAATAAATATCGCATAATAAAAGTGTTTACTCCCATAATACCTTTAATTCTTCTTTCAGTCGTTCAATTTCTTTCTTAAGTGTTTCTATTTCAGTTTCTTTAGACAAGATTATTTCATCCCTTTCGATTTGCATCTTCAATATGTCCTCTTTTCTCAATTCTTCTAAACGGTGAACTTCATTTTCCTCTTTAACCAATTGATCTCTAAGAGCTTTCAACTCCTCTTGGCTCGATTTCAATAAACCATCCTTTTCTTCTATCTGTCGTATAAGTTCATCATTCTATTCCAAACATCCAAGAAAAGAAAAACTCTGTCAACTCGTATTTCGAAGAAATTGAGACCAGATAAACTCATGTTTAGAAATTACCTTTTCTTTAAAACTCGTTTCGGTTGGTGATGATTTCCCCGCACCATTTTGTTTCGGAACAGAACCGACACTCTTGGTTGTAGCATGTTTGGCCGTCGCGTTCGACGATGACGAGGTTGTTGCGGGCTTACTTTTCTGTGGTGATACTGGAGTAGTCGTTTTCGGCGAAGTGGAAGCATTAGCTGCAGGAGATTTTTTGATGGTGGTTGTGGTTGTGGCAGTGTTGTTTGTGCTGGCATTAGAACTTGTAGAGTTAGTAGAATGCTTTCTTGCCAGTGGCACTGCGGATGGTTTCTGCATTGTAGTAGTCGTCTTTGTTGCCACATTAGTTGTCGTTTTTGTGGTAGCCGCTGCGGATGTGGATTTAGCTGAAGGTTTTGCCAATGAACTCTTTACATTGGAAGCCATCTTATTTGGAGCGCTTGGCGTCTTCGCGACAGTAGGGCTTGTAGGCTGTTTCGTCGGAACTGGTGTTCTGGTAGTGCTAGAAGTACTGGAGGAGCGTGTTGTCGGAGGTTTAGAAAGTGTAAGAGAATTCGTTTTATTAATTGAAGACCGACGAGCGCGTGTTTGAGTGCCACTCGCAGGCGTTGTAGTGGGCGCGGTTGGTTTTTTAACCGCACCAGCTTTGGTATTCGTAGCGGGTTTTGTTGTTTTTGCTGCGGGGTTCGATTCCTTTTTACTCGATTTATCCTTGTCTTTTTCATCAGTTGGACTCTTTGGAGGGGTCAAAGGTTCAGACGTATGATCCGCATGATCCAATCCATTCGATTCGTCCTTTGTTTCCGCGGTAATTGATTCGTCTGACACGGAGACGGTTTCGTGATGAGTCTCACCATATTCCTCGGGCTGTTCAACGAGCGTTTGTTCTGAGGTCAACAGCGTGTTTTCGGTGTGTTTCTCCGCGTGTTCTTTGATGCCTTCAACAACTTCTTCAGTGGAAGAACTAACCTCTTCAGCTTTTTTGGTGTGCTCAGAAACCTCTTCTTCATGCTCCTCCACCGCAACATCTAACTCATCGGTCTCTTGGACGGTATCCAAATGTTCATTTTCAACATGGTGCAAAACGACCTCTTCAACGACTTCTGTGTATTCAACCACCTCGGTTTCTTCAACTACTCCAACCGAGTTACCCATTGAAGTTTGAATAGCAGTAGCCATGATATTATTATTTATTATCTACGTGAGATGGAAAACAAAAAAGTTGAGTGACTCTGGTGAACAATGAAACAACTGTTTTGCAGATGAAAAAACGCGACATACTTTAAAGAGCGTGCTTACCCGTAGTTTCCTATGAATAAAAAAGCAACGTCTTTATGTTTTTGTCTTCGGATAGAGAATGAGATGCGAAACGAGAAATTAAAGTAACTTTGTAGTCACGTTTTTTTTCCTTTAGTTGTTGCTTCTCAAACGAAGCACACAAGCAAAAAGAAAAGAGTGGTACCGTTTTTAGTATTATAGTGTACTTTAATGTTGTCTGAAGGTCTATCAACTAATGCAGACTACTACAACCTGATTAGTGATTGACACATAATAGCATAAACAAAAAATCCTATAATAGTATAAAAACGGTGTAAAGGTGTAAACTAAAAAAAAAAAAAGGGTTCAATTACAAAGGGGAAGACAATTGTAGTGAAACTTTCTTTCCTAGGGCAATGGTGCGTATGTAAGTATGCGTACGCACCGCTCAAGAAGTTATCTTTTTCCCAGAAGAAAACTGCACGTTTAAAATATCATTTATATTGAGTATGCATTCTCGTGTGTTTAGAACAATTGGGTGGATCATAATTTTGCCTAATCTTATCTTTTTAAATTCATTTCCTGTAAGTAAACCTCTCAACACATTATTTGTGTCACGTTGATGACAACACAAACCGCGGATCCTTAACAGATGACTGATCAAAGGTCACAGCCCTCGAAAAAAAAAAAAAAATGAAAAAAAAAAAAAACGTTAGCGGAATCGGAGCCATTCCGTTCCCCAATAGTTTAGATGGTGCACAGGTTGAAGAAAAACAAGCAACGTGTGAAATGCATTCATTTAATCAATTTAATCAACAACCATTTATTTTGAGCAAATAAACACTGAAATTGACAATTAATGGGTTATAAGAAATTGATTTTATTCCTTGATCAAACATTTAAGATGGCATGCTTTAATTGACATAAATCCTGCCGTAATGTTTATCTTTGTGCGCATAAAACATGGAACTCCTGCGTTTCATTTGCATTTCCGAATTAACAGATGGATTACGATATACCAGTAAAACATGCAGTGCTAAGTAGATTTGCATTGATTCTTGGAGAAAAATAACTTATTTAACGCCATTTTCATAGCTGAAAATTTTATTATCTCTGGTTTTTGGAGAAATATGGATTATTTGGTTTTGTATAAAAATGAATTTTATTAAGCCAATTCTTGTTTATACATATCTTAAACAAGCTATCTACTTATATCTCGTTTTATAAATAATAAATACTGTATAATTGTCATATTAATATCATATAATTTATTATTATTATTCTTTTTTTTTTAACTCGCTGTCAGGTCGGTTATATGTACTTTATTAAACTTTTGTAAACTGTACACAAATATAATATGCGTCGCTAAAGTTAATTCTCTAACTGACTTGCTTATCTTAATATTATTTACTTTAAGTGCAACTTTGGAAAACCCTTTCAATTATTAATATCACTGCCTGCAGATCACTACTATAAATTACTGTCAAGTTTTGACAGAAGTTAAAACTTAATCATTTTTAACTTCTCTATAAGATTTTTAATTTTTTGATTTTTCTTTTTGTTTACCATAATTTATTTTTATTTGTTATTTTCTATTATCTATTATTAGTTATATTTCTTTTTTAATTATATTTACTTTATTTTTTATAACTTTTATTAAAATTTTTCAGGTAAAGTATTACTTCTTTTTTTTCTTAACTTTTTATATTTATGTTTATAAATTAAATAATTTATTAAGTATTTGATTGTTTTTTTTTGTTCATTCTATATCATACATATTGTTTAAATGTAATAAATAATTTCTCATTAATTAATTTTATCATAAAAATTTTTTTTTATAAATTTCTAATATAAATATTTTAAAATATATTTTTCTTTTAATTATTTTTATATAAGATTCTATATATAATATTAATGATTTTCAATTTATAGATTTTATTTTTTATTAATTATGTTTTATTATTTTTTTTTTTTTAAACCTGTGGTTAGACCAGTATTGTGTATTTATTAATTATTATGAAAACCGATTTAGATACATAGGGCAATTGCATTATGGCTAAACTAAAATCTTGTGCTGACACATTTGTCAATAGCTTTCAATTCTCAAAAGAGTTTTAGCCTCTAAGTGCAACCTTGGGAACAATATTTTGCTCTGAACTAAGTTTTGGGTGAAGACTCTCCTAACTTACCCATTATTGCTAGCAGGTTGTCACTACTTATTATCCTTCAAGGAACTGAATTCGAGAAACTACAAAAGAAAAAGGGAAAAAGAAAAGAAAAAGGAATATCTAAAAATGCACAATTGTGTTACATGAAAATAAAAAATAAAAAGAAAAAATAAAATTGCTTCATGTCCTTCAAAGGACCTTGGTTAGAAACCTCTTCTCATTAGGAATCAACTCTTCTGGAATATCCTTCTTCTTCCTAACCATCTAAAGAACTTATCTATTCATACTCTTGATTATTTTCTTATGACCATCTGAGGTACTTATCGCCTACTCAGATCTAATGTCTTGCTCAATGCTTTCTTTCTTTCGGTCTTGATTTTTTATCCACTTGCGTAACACAAAACGGCTAATGGTGAACTCCAGGTTCTTATGTAGCTTTTCAGTCTTGTTGTATAACTCTCGATATCTTTTTATTAATTATGTTTTATTATATCTATTGATATATTATCATTATATTATTTGTTTTTTAATAAATTATTTAATAAAAATATTTAATATTATATTATTTTATTTTATTTTTATAATAATTTTATCTAAGAACAAATTTTTTTATTTAATTATTAAAAGTTTAAAGTTTTTTTTATAAAAATATTTATCAATTTGTTATAACTCATTGATATATACTTTTATTTTAATAAGTTTAATTATAAATAATATATTTTTTTATAATAAAAAACTTTTTCTGTTAATTCTCTGCCTACACACAAAAAAGATATTTACAAGAAATTTTTTATTTCTTTACTAATAAAGTCTTAACACTATCCTTAAACCAACTTAAAGTTTTACTTTAAAAGATACTCCCAAACCCTTCCTCTTGT